ATCATATGGAATAGTTTCTCCACCCAAAGTATCTCCTGTGGTATTTTTCAATGTCCTTTTCAGCATGGCTTCAGAAAACACATTGTCCTGCAGCCTCACATTTCACACCATGGTCAGTCAGACTCAAACCTAGTGAGGCCAGGGCCCGGGGGTGGGGTGAGAAAGCAAAACCAAAGAAACCAAAAGCCAGTGGTTTCTAGCTGACGAATAGCCATTTCAAACACTCTCTGCTGAGGGAGAAAAATGCAGGCATACAATCATTAAGCAAATGCCTGGTACGAATTGAGCTGTATTTTTCTGTTGAAAATAACAGAAAGAATATCCTGTACCACACTGAGGCTAGAGTGTGAGAGTCCAGCAGAAAGCAAAGAACTACATGTCTATGCTTTTGTAGTTGTTGCTTTTTTTCTGCTTTTTTTTTCTATTGTTGGGTCTTTTTTTTCTATGTTAGTTGGAATAGCAAATTTCTCATAAAGACTTCTCCAGAAAATATGCAACCCTTCAGGGTATAACTCAAACATAATTACCCTGTCTTGGTTGTGACCCAAAGATAATTTCCCTTCTTTATTGGACTCTAACATATTTTTAACCTATCTAGTAAATGTGTCGTTAAATGTCTGTTATATGCCTGTCACAGAATTAGAGGTCAAGTGACAAAGGAAACAGATAAGTTCCCTGTCTTCATGGGTTTATAGCACAGAGGACTTTCAAACATGATACCAATAATAATAATACCTGATGCAATTATAGGCCCCTGGGGTGCTATGCAAACACATCATGGGTGCTCTTATTTCAAGGAGGGTTCAGGAAAGGCCTCTCTGAGACCTGAAGGATGACTAAGATTTAGATGAGGATAAAGCAGGGAAGAAAGGAGCATATGTTCAAGTCTCAGTGTCAAGAAAGCACCAAGGCAACATCAAGAAATGGGAATGGGGATGGGGAGGGCACTGGAGCAGAGAGAGCCAGGCTTGCTTCTTTCTTTCTCTTTCTTTCTTTCTTGCTCTTCTTCCTTCCTTTCTGGTAGTACTGGGTTTGAACCCAGGGCCTCAGCACTTGTTAAACACAGGTACCCTCCCACTTAAGACATTCCTCTAGCCTTTTGCCATCTTTATTTTCAAGGTAGGGTCTTGCTTTATGCCTAGGCTGTCATCTTCCTACCTATGTTTCCTTATGTTGCCGACAAATGACAGGTACGTGTCACCATGACCTGTCACTGGTTGAGATAGAGTTTTCCAAAGTTTTTTTTGTCCAGGCTGGTCTTGAACCATATCCTCAATCTCCCTTTTCCAACTAGATAGAATTACAGGCATGAGCAGTCTGGATCTCAGTTTGATTTGCACTTTCAAAGATAATTGTGGCTGGAGTCCGTGATCCATGCCTATAATCTTAGCTACTCAGGAGGCTGGGGTCTGAGGATAGATCTGAAGCCAGCCCAGGTAGGAAAGCCAATGGGACTTATTTCCAATGAACCACCCAGAAGCCAGAAGTGGAGCTATGGCTCAAGAAGTAGAGTGCTAATCTAGCAAAAGAAGGTCAGGGACAGCTCCCAGGCCCTGAGTTCAAGCCCCAGGAATGGCACAAAAACAAAAACAAAAAGATAACTATGCCTCAATGCAGATATTTCAGTGGGACAAAAAGCTAGGTGGGAGCACAAAACCTTAGTTCAAGCCCCAGTATTGGCACAAATAAAATCGAATTGATCTGAAGAAAACCATCAGAGAGTCTGAAGGTTATCTGGCTCATAGATATGGGAAAGACATTCAAGTAGTAAGTGAATACCTGAGCCTTGACCACATTTCTGGAGAACAAATTTAACTTTGCTTCAACCAATAATGAATACTCAAAAGGACAGCTTTGTACATTCAGGGGCCCTTTTCCTAATTCCACATGGTTGAAAACAAAGCAAAAGTAAGCCTCTGAAAGAGACAACTGCTTTGTCAAAACTGGATTGATTTCAGCTGAGATCCCGGCCACCATAAAAGGCAAATGTGGGCAAGAATAAGCACCAGATGAGGAAAAGCTGATTCTATTTTTTATTTAATTTTAAATCCCAAGGACAAAAGGTATAGAGCTACCATCTTCCCAGAGTCCTTCCAAATAGCAAGTGTCTGAAACTGTGATGCTCACATGCTGTCTCTTCCTTCTTTTTCTTCTCTTCTCCCCTTTTCCTAAGCAACTATTCAGCTGGATGTGGTGGAAGCAGAGGCAGAGGAGATAAGCGGAGGAAGTACCCTCCTACGGGCTCGAAGAACCACCAAGCGGTTATCCGTGACATCTCTTCCTCCAGGATTGCAAAAGGTAAAAAGGCCTACACATATCAGTGTGTCAGTGTTTAGGGATTTTGGTAAAAATCAAGTTCTCTACTACCTTAAGTCCTTCATGTTAAAATTTTGAATGTGCTGTGGTGTCTTTCCCCTAGAATTTAGGACACAGAACAGGAGCTTTCCTGGTCAGATCCTTCTTATTCTGAGCTCAGAGCACTTAGCTTTTACTACAAGCTGGGCAACAATGGAGTTTGCAGCTTTAAAGTGACTTGCTCAAATATCAAGTTCACGTATTAGCAACCTAGCCTGTCTATGCTTTAAGAAGAGGCATTCGCAGGACCAGTCTTAATAAAACTGGCCATGAGGACACTGTTCACCATCCAATAAAGTAGCCATTTGTCACACGTGGTTTGTGAGACTGAAGTGTGGCCAGGGAAACTGGGGAAGTGAATGTTTTTAATTTTAATGCAAATTAAAATGAAATTTAAATAGCTGCATATCAGCATAAGGAGTAACAGGTTGATTGATCCAGTATGCCCTGGATGTACTTATCAGAAGGATGAACCTAATTTTCTAAGACTAATTTCATTTAAAATGATGTCATAGTAGGAAAACTAGATTTCTTTTTTGAGGGGGAGTTTTACTGTTACCATGGGTGATTTCAAATTCCTGGGTATGATCTTGCCTTTTCCTCCTGAATAGCTGAGACTACAGTTGTGCAGTGCCATGGCCAGCTGCCAGACAACATGCTGCTGTTGTGTGTTGTTGTTTTTAAGTCGAACTCTAAGCTATTATTACTACTTTTTTATATATGTGACAAGCTCTTAAAGTTGACACCATGTGCTAGGCTCTCTTCTTACAAATATGAACACAGATAAATCTTACAACAGTGCTGGAAGGAAGGTAGAAAAATTGTCTTATTGTAGTAACAACACTTAATTTTCCCAGATGATTAGAAGAGCCAAGGTTCTCACCAGGAAGATTTTATTCCTTCTTTTTTCTTTCTCTCTCCTTCCTTCTCCTATTCTTTGGGCGGGGGGGGGGGGTGGGGATTGAACCAAAGGTCAAGCACATAGCAAGGATTCCATCGATAAACTAGATCCTGCAACTCTGGTTATTAATTACTATGCGTTGTATTAATTATACTGTTCAATTGTTCTGTTCAGTATGGGTTGACCAATAGCCACATGTGGCTCACTCCTGTAATCCTAGCCACTCAAGAGGAGTATCAACTCAGAAGTAGCTAAGATTTGAGGATCTGAGTTCAAAGCCAGCTAAGGCAGGAGAGTCTGTAAGACTGTCATCTCCAAACACTTGAAGTGGAATGGTAACTCAAGTGGTAGAGCACTAGCCCTGCAAATACTCAGGGACAGTGCTTAGGCCCTACATTTAAAGCTCTAGTATTGGCACACACAAAAATTAAGTCTACTTCCTCAGTCACACTAACTACATTTCAAGTGTTCAATAACAATCACATGTAGCTAGTGGCTTTTGTATTAAGCAGCACAGATAGGCAAGATCTCTACCTTTGCAGAGGGATCTATCAAATAGTGCTCACAGCATCATTGGCAGATAACACTAGAATCAGGTTCACATTTTCCTTCATGTACGAGATTCTTATCACACCCCTATCATGATCTGAATGATTTCTAGGTTTGGGAGCCCCAAGAGTGATCTAATGGACATTTTGTTTTGGAACTTTTGGCAAAGGAGAAATACATTAAGCCATGGTACTACAGAACAGTAGGGTAAGGTTAATCTTTGGAAAAGCCAGTAGCCATCCAGATGGGGAAAATGGAATTTGATCCGTCATTATAGCCAACAATTAATTCTTGTTGGGTTTTAAGTGGGAAAGACAAAAATCTTAACACTTCTGAGGTACAGGAACAGTATTTTCATGATTACATGACAGGGAAGGAATTTTCAGTATGTGAATAGCACTTACCATAGAAGATAAAAATGGATCAATTTGGGTGTACTTAAAACTGAGCATTGAAAGACAGAATCAGAAGGTGTTCACTATGGTGTCCACTATCTATAGAAGAGTTTTGTTTATCCCACAGTGTTCTCAACATTGTATTCAAATTAGCTGCTCACACTGTAAAATTAGGGTATTTCAAATAAAACTCTAGGAGCTAACTTCATCCTGGAGAAATAGGAAAAATTTGAGATTTTTGAGGGTAAACAAAACAGACTACAAAGAGATACACCTGTGTAGGACACATGTTTTCTCCAGACCAAAGTTCCACAAGTAGTCCTGTCTACAAAACTTGCCTTAACACTAGATTTTGTAAGTCATATCAAACTCAGAAATAACTTAGTGACTACCAAGTGGAGGATGAAGTCCTAGTATTGAGAGAAAAGTAGAGTAATAGAAGAGCATGGTAGTATATACCTGTAATCTCAGCACTTAGAAGGTAGGGCAGGATTGTAAGGCTTTTATATTCCTTCTTTCTCCTCCCTCCCCCCTCCCCTTTATTTTCTTTATGGTACTGAGGTTTGAACTTAACGCCTTGCACTTAGTATGCAAGTGTTCTGCCATCCAAATCATGTCTAAAGTCTTTCTTTCTTTCTTTCTTTTGCTTCTTATTTTTCAGGTAGTATTTTGTTTTTTCCTGAGTTAGCCTTAGACAACAGGTCTCCTTGGAAATTATACTCAGTTTATTAAGATGGAGTATCACTAACTTTTGGCCCAAGTTGGCCTCAGGCCATCATGCTCCAATCTCAAAGTATGAGTTACCATGTCCAGCCTTAAGAGGACTCCAAGTGTAAGAACTATACAATAAGACCAAGAAACAAACACAACTAAAAATTAAGCACAAATAAAAAAGACAGGAACAAATTGGAGTCTTACTTTAGATAGATGAAGGAAGGCTCTGAAAATGTCACTCAGACAGAGCAGGCTGGCAGCACAGGTGGTAGTTTATTTCTAAGCATTCTCCTCAGGCAAAGGATAAACTCCAAACATGGTCTACCATCTTGCTCTGTGTAGATTTCAGAATTACCCCAGTGCTAATTATTAAGCACCAGGAGAAGAAAGGATGAACTCACTAAGTCTAAAATGGCATACTAGCTCAGAGCCAAGACTGAATGGTCTCCAGAAGCAACCGTTAGGATTGGTAATTGCAGCCAGTAAGCCAGGGACAATGGGAAAAGTGTCAGGCATAGGGCAAAAAGAGAATCCAGTGCTTGTGTTTATGTTCAGAAACATGATACCCGTGAAAATAAGGAAACCTGCAGAAACAAGAGCAAATTAACAACTGGATCTAGTGATAATGAGCTTTCTGGGGCACTGGTCCACAACAGCTCCACATTCTCCCTGTGCTCAGCATCTACACAGTAATTTCTTCTTCTCCTTACGAATGACCTATTTTTTAATCCTGACTCTATATATTCCTTCAGAGCCAATCTCATTTCTCTGCACCCTATGAATCTCTTCAAAGAGAGCTTGGGGCACAAAGGAGATACATGAGGCGTGTGAATAAGACTCCAAGCCAGTGATGCTATGTGGCAAGTGATCACTTTGGAAAAGAATGTCCAAAGGGTAACAATTCTTATTTATGTGTCATCACAAAAATAACATTGGTATTTCCTAATATGGTATACTTTTGCATTTTTACAATAGGCACCATATTCATCAAAAAAGAGACCACACTTTCCAGCATTAAAAAGAAAGAAACGTGGCATGGAACACATCCTCCCCAAATCAGATTTGACAGTACGAAAGCTTCAAATGCAGGTAGTGGATGAAAACTTTTCCTAAGCATCAAGCTTCAGTCCTAACTGAACACACAGCCCAGCCAGAGAGCATGAATAAGGAACATAATTAACAGCCAGCATTAAGAAGTAATGTTAGTGGGGGGCATTCTGAGAGGCTAAGGAATGGCTAAGAGCATGTAAGACTATGCTGTGTACCTAATAAATATTAAGTGGATTGCATTAAAATGAAGGTATACACATGGGCTTTTCCTTTGAGAAGAAATGAGATCGTCTTTACCACTAGGTGGTAAATGCATATTTTCAAGCTCTGTTTGCTATGACTTTAAGTAGAATAATGCTTTGGGACTTGTAAAATATCCATCAATTCCTGAACTCATCTCTCAGGAAAAGCAACTATCACTTTGGTTTTGCAACCCATGGCTTCATTTCTTTGCATCTGTCAATAGGTGGATGATCTCATAGAAGCAGTGACTGATAAATCCATGAAGCTTCTGGCACAAAGATATGCAGAGCTCCAACAGTGTGAGTTTCTAGGGGATGAAATTCTTCAGTCTTCTAAGCAGTTTCAGAGGATATCCAAGAGAACCATGAGGAAGTACAAACTGAAAAGTGTCTGTTTCCCATGTACCTGCTGCTGCTTCTGATTTTGTTCCTCTCTTGATTAAAAATTCCCTGTAGGGATTCTTCTCTTGGTGCAGTCCTGAATAAATCTCTGTAGCGAATTAATCAATGAAGGAGTACATTTTAAAACAACATTTTACCCAATAATTCTTTATTTAAAAAAGAGAGCTTTTGTGGGGGGGAGCTTTTTTTTTAACTTTGAGACTATAGAAGCAAATTATACTTTATAATCCTTATTATAAATGGAAAATAAAAACCATTTAAAGAGTATAACAATTCTCTAAAGAAATTTCTCCAATGACTTGTTAGATGAAGTTAGAGAAAGTACTTAAAAATGTCATAACACTTTTAATATGACTACTACTGAGCTAATTTTAAATTTTTATCTTGAGAGAAAAGTTCTTATCAAAATTACAAAAATGTTGGGCTGGGAAGGTGGCTCAGTGGTAGAGCACTTGCCTTGCACGCATGAGGCCCTGGGTTCGATTCCTCAGCACCATATACGCAAAAGGAAAAAAGCTGGAAGTGGCACTGTGGCTCAAGTGGTACAGCGCTAACCTTGAGCTGAAGAGCTGAGGGACAGCGCCCAGGCCCAGCGTTCAGGCCCCACTACTGGACCCAAAAAAAAAATTACAAAAATGTAACATTATTAAGATATGACTCATGCAAAGCATCATGTATCTGATTTAACATCAGATCAGATTTCTGGATTCTAAGATTTTAAGGATGGAATCTAAGGATTACACAAATCATTCAGCACTTAAGGAAATTATGAGTGATTTAACCTTAGTTTTTATGAATGATTATGATAACCTTCATGTGAGACCATTTTAAGTTATTTCCCTCAAAAAATTCTTCATTTTCTTAGTATATTTTTCTACTGAAAATGAATCCTAAGAAACAAAACAGTAAAATGAAATCATATAACAGAACACTGAACTATCACATTCCTTGAGTAATAAATGCTAAAGCAATGTGGATGGATTTACCTTTTATGCCAGCAATCTTAACATGTAACTTTCCTCCACGATGAACAGACACCATAAATATTGTTCACATAATATGAAAGGCTCATGCCACACCTAGAACCTATTCATGGACTTCATTTTCTCATATACACACTAGAAATGCATCTTTCTCAGTCTTCAACTTATTTTATAAGACAGTGATGTTACCTGTTAAAAACTACCTAGAATACCCAATGAGTACACACATCAGCTTGAAAACGTTTTATTAAACATTTTAGGTGTTATTTCCTATTTTTAAAGAATAAAAAAATTTCAATAAAACAAATGTACATTACAGTTATTTTCTGTGTGAAGAAAGCTGAATGAACTGTGCATCAATATTGAAAAATACAATATTTCACTGCCAAAACTTAACCTGCCTCAAAGAGCATTACAAATTCTGAACACACCAAGACCATGTAGTTGCTATAATTTCATTGGGAATGGTGAGCTATAGCCTATCTAGGGCTTAGGGTCTGTTTTGGTGCCTGCTTCTATCTCGCAGAACTTTTCATCATCTGTAATTGAGAAAGAAACATAAAACCTTAGTTAACTTGGCATAAACTTTATGTTTAGTGCACATGTAAAAATATTTTTATCTTTTATTAGCCAACACATTTCAAGTGAAGATGGCAAAATGGCAGGCTGTACCTGCAAATGGTCCACATAAATGCTTGGTTTAAAAAATACTATTTTGATTGTTTATTAACTGAATCAAAATTCAAGGTTGGTGTGCTAACTTCACTAAAAAAAAAAAAAAAATCGATGGCTGGGTGCTAGTGGCTCAGGCCAGTAATCCTAGCTACTTAGGAGGCTAAGATCTGAGGATTGTGGTTCCAAGCCAGCCTAGGCTAGAAAGTCTATGAGACTCTTATCTCCAATAAAATACCAGAAAACCAGAAGTGGCACTGTGGCTCAAGTGGTAAAGAGCTTGATCTGAAGAGCTGAGGGACAGTGCACAGACCCAGAGTTCAAGCTCCATGACTGACAAAAATAATAAATAATTAAATAAATAAATCTATCTTGGGTTGTTTCTAAAAACAATCAGAAAGCAGGTAGCAGAAGAATTTCCACTTAGCTAATAGTAAGAAGAACAAATCCTGAGTTGTTCCAAGCACCTACGATCCACTGGGTATCACATTCTTTCTATGAACTGATCATTTAGCATTTTCTGTCTGGGTTCTAAGCCATTACCTCAAGTCATAAACTATAGAAACAAGTAAAAAATGTCCTATTTAATCCTCAAATCTTAAACTACTAGATATGTAATTACTTTACATATTATTACATAATGCTTCATTAGCATATATTTAGAAAGTTGAACAACTGAATGCTTTTTAATGTAAGCCAGCTACACTTCTATTTAGAAATTGAAGGCACAGTCTCTCTCCAAGATGTAGATTCCACAAGGCACAGTCCTTAATCATTCAAAACTCTATATGAAGCTAGTTGCTAGTGGCTTGCATCTGTAATCCTAGCTATGTAGGAGGCTCAGATCTAAGGATAGTGGTTCAAATCCAGTCCAGGCAAAAAAGCCCATGAAACTTTTTTTTTTAATTGGTCGTGGGACTTGAACTCTGGGCCTGGGCATGTTCCCTGTGCTCTTTACCTTAAGGCAAGTGCTCTACCACTTGACCCACAGAATCACTTCTGGTTTTCTAGTGGTTTATTGGAGGTAAGAGTCTAACGGAGTTTCCTGCCTGGGCTGGCTTTGACCGTGATCCTCAGATTTCAGCCTCCTGAGTAGCTAGGATTACAGATGTGAGCCACCAGCGCCTGGTTCCATAAGACTTTTATCTCCAATTAACTACCAAAAATGCCAGAAGAGCTATAGCTCAAGTGGTAGAATGCTACACTTGAGCAGAAGCAGCTCAGGGACAGTGCCCAGGCCCTGAAAACAAACAAACAAAAAACCTACCCAAACTCTTCATGAATGAATATTCATTCTGAGACAATTTCTACTTACTTTCCAGTGTTTGCTGAAGTTCATGAATGGTGTTAAGAAGAACATAAAATTGCTTCCGTCTCAAATCCAGCTGTAGGTAACAAGAGAAAAATTCATATAAGTTGATCTATAAACACATATACATTCAAAACAAAGGCTATAAATGTACCTACCTTATCTTCAATATTTTCTTTAATATGTGAAAGATGTTCTAATTCTTTTCCCAGAATTTCTAGCTCCCTGAAAAAAAAGATAACTGCTAAAGTTGTCTGCTTGGGGAAGAGAATATATAATTAACACAAATCTAATAGTATTTTAATACTAAAAGGCATATATGAAATTAGGACATTCCACTATTGTCAGACTTTTAAAGCTGAAGATGATTTCTAATTCCTAGATATGTACTATTTTCATTAAAAGTACAGTTTTAGATAACAGATTTTAAGTAAGGAAAACAAAGACAACTGAACAACCAAACTAAGGAAGTGGCCTTCTGTGTCACTCTGCCCTCAAGTCTTTATTTTTATAACAGAAATCACATTGCTGGTTTACTGACTTTAGCCCAGCCCAATCTTCTATCCCTTTTCCTCCCCTATCTCCCACTCAGGATCATTCAGCCAACTCTTTGTTAACATATACATTTGTATCTCTTAATAATACATAGTATTAGTATATAATACTTAGAGAGAGGCTTATAACTTTTATAAATGGTTACTCTTCTGAATGTATTTCAGAAATGATTTAAAATTCATTACCTGTCTTTTTTCCCCACTGACTATATTTTGGAATCTGTGTTTTAGAAATATATACCTAATCTGTATTTTGTTTTTATCTTATTATCTTGGTAGTACTATTTTTTTTTTAATTTGGAGCTTCTACTTGCTAAAGGAATGTTCTACCACGAACCACATCTCCAGTCATTTTTACTTTAGTTATTTTTCAAACAGTCTCACATTTTTGTCCAGGATGGGCTTCAAATCATGATCCTTTCTATCTATTCCTCTTACATACTTATTGGTTGAGATGGGGTCTAGGTAATATTTTGCCAGGGCTTGCCTTGATTGATAATCCTGCCAATCTCCACCTCTTAAACCGCTTGGATTGAACCACTGCTATTTAATATTCTACTATAGAAACAGAATATATTCCATTTATCCATTTTCCTATTGAAGCATCCTCTGTGCGTGTATTTTAGACCTACAAGTAGTAAACTTGGAAGAAGAAAAGGATTTACCCAAGCTGTATTAGAATGTATAGTCTTGAAACTGTGACCCTTCCTTTTGATAGGCTTTACATATTTCTATTGAAATGAAAAGCATAGGCTAGTTCTTAAAAGCTCTAATCTTACTTTAATGTCTCATGTCTATCTGGATGATGTTGAATCACTTTTGCCAAAGCATCATATTCTGAAAGACATAAAAATGTTTACCAAATTAAAGATTTCTTTTGAACCATCAAAGCAAATCCTATTTATTTTCCTAGTACATAAGGAAGTGTAAATGATATGTTATAATGTAGTACTCCAGACAGGGAGTTTTTGCTCCATTCCTATTTTTTTCATTGATACACTCTGAACAGAACATAATAGGTCAGCATAGGCATAAATGGTTATTAAGTAGACTGACAAGGATCTTAAGACACAATGTGCCCCAAAACTAATCATAATTACTAAAAAATAATGATCAGCTGGGTGCTGGCAGCTCACACCTATAATCCTAGCTACTTAGGAAGCTGAGATCTGAGGATCACGGTTCAAAGCCATCCTGGGCATAAAAGTCAATGAGACTCTTATGTCCAATTAAAATCACAGAAAAAGCCAGAAGGGGTGCTGTAGCTCAAGTGGTAAAGTGCTAGGCTTGAGCAAAAAGAGCTTAGGGAGGATAGTGCTCAGGCCCAGGACTGGCAAAAAATAAATATTAAAGTAATGATCAGTACAGAAAACGCCCTACTGTTAATTTCAGACCTAAACAGAACTTCTCATTTATTCTAAAGGAAAATATTTCAGAAACTGTAAAATAACTTAAAGTTCAGGACATGGTTTCTGTACCACTGAAACCTCCAAGATGAAGTCATGTGACTCCTTAACCTTTTTAAAGAAATGATAAATGATAAAATCACTTAACAGCTTCCTAATATATGAAAACACTGTTTAATTTATATTAGCATAAGTTGATACATCTTGCCATAATTGCACTGCATAAACTGAATAAAGTGTCTCTTTTAAAAAGAGAAAATTGTTGCGCACTAGTGACTCATGTCTGTAATGCTAGCTACTCAGGAGCTTGAGATCTGAGGATCATGTTCTAAAGACAACCTAGGCAGGAAAGTCTGTGAGACTCTTATTACCAACTAGCTACCAAAAAAGCTGGAAGTAGAACTGTGGCTCAAGTGGTAGAGTGCTAGCCTTGAGCAAAAAAGCTCAGGGACAGACCAGGCCTTGAGTTCAAATCCCAGGACCAACAACAACAAAAAAAAACCTTTTTAATTAAAAAGAGAAAATAGAACTGTACCTTAATTATCTCTCCAAAATGTGAAGTTCAGCGTTCTGGATCTCACTGACTTTAATTTTTTTTTTTTGCACTACACAAAATATGCTTGTTATAAAACAAAATTGAAAAGCATAGCCATAAAAACTCCCAACCACTAAATAATAGTAACTTTTCTATTTCCTTCTAGTTTTTCATATATATTATCACAGTTATTACTAAACACTTTCTCATATTTCTTTTTCCTAACTACATTAAGGAGAACTAATGCTCTTATAATTAAAAATCACTTCAGATGTTTTTAGGAATTATGCAATGCTTACCAATAGAAGAGATTAGAACAAAACTAAATTCTAACCTTTCCTTAAATTAGATAATTAGGCAGTCTAAATCTGTGTTTCATATTTAATAAAAATTGCTGAAGTTTAGATTCTTCAAAAAAAAGTATCTCTAATCAACAACTAAAACTCCAAAACTAGAAACTCATATAAATCACCTTTGCTCATTAACTGTAGCATCATGTAGACAAAAGGGGCTGATGAGTATAAAAATTTAATACTAAGAAATACTTGGATAATAATACAACTCAGCAAAAACAATAAATAAAATTCAGCATCGCCTTCCTTCTCCTATTTTAGAGAATATAAGGTAAGAATTAAATATGGCTCCCAATTCTTTTTTATAAATTAAATTAATCCTGGCTGCAGATTTGGCTTCACAGCAGTTAAAGCTGCATGAAAATAGTCAGTAATAAAGAATCTGCACACTAAACTAACCTCAAAATCCTTACCTTGGCGATTTTTTCGTATTCGTTTTGCTTGAAGAATCTGCTTTTTGCACTCAGCAATTTTTTCATGTGCTCCAGCAATGCTACTCTCTACAAAAAAAAAAAGGATTTTAGAAAGTTATGATACCACATATAATAATCCATTCATTTTTAATTTTAAAATGTGTTTCTAATTTAATGTTTCATTGCTAACAGACCTGCGTTTAAAAATAGCTACAACCCAAAGCAGTATACATATTAGAGTATATATTCTTTGTAGCTAACATTTACTGTATTCTTTTAATTAACATTGTAACTACTATTATTCTTTTGTCACTAGCCAGAGAAAATTGGTAGCATGTTTTTCCTTTAGGCTAATAAAATTATAGAAACACTAAATACTTTTGTTTCTTTACCTATTTCTTTGTAAATTTTTTCATAATTTTCCATTTCTCTGAGATTCATATCATATACCAGCAGAGTTTTGCCCATTGAAAATTCACATTGAGACAGGGTGCTAAGCATACGTTGGTACTGGCTATATCTAATGAAAGAGAGACAGAAGATGTTAGTGGACTGCTAAGGTTGAACTACTATAATTCAGGTAAAGATTTGCTAACTAAATTTTACCAAATCCTGAGAGACTCATTTGTTATGTTTAAAATAACTTAGAATATCTGCTCCAGTTTTCTTTATCTAAATATGGTACACATGACTTTATAAAGTGCGTCAGTTACAAATGCAAGGTAAGACTATTGTTCTTATAAATAGTTTAAACAACTATTTGAACTGTTTCAATCACTTAAAAATCTTTTGATTATAAGGGTTACTGACCATAATTTTGTCCTCACAAATATTTCACTCTGTATGAAACAGTTTATGTGGAAAGTGAAGTCACATAAGGAAAAATTTCTTTGTGAAAATTCCCTACCTGAAAAATAGCTAAGACAAACAACAACAAAAATTGGCCAGGGATTTGGCTCAAGTGGTAGAGTGCCTTTCTAGTAGGTACTGAGGTCAAACTCAAGTACCACCTCCTCATACAGTCACACAGTCACACAGTCTCTCTCTCTCTCTCTCACACACACACACACATACAGAGGCACATGCACACCTTATCCTGGTCTGGTGGCACAGACTGAGGAAAGCTGGAAAACTGAGTTCTAGGGAAGCCCGGTATAAAGAGCAAGATCCTGAACCCCCTCCCACAACAAAAGAATAAAATCTACTTTTGGCTTTTCAACAGGTATTTCCATTGGACATTTCAATAGTGAAATACTAACAAGACTTTAATAAAATCACATCTACACTGGTATAGAAACAACAATGAAATGAAATACCCCTCTTCTTGGGATCCAGAGTTGCACCACTTAATGAAACTTTTCACTAGCAAATTAATCCTCCGATCATCACCAGCGCCATCTCCATCAATTAAGAGTCGCTTCCGTATGACTTCATCTGGAGAAAAGAAAGGTAATGCCTGTTTAAATGATCATCTGGCCCTTAGGAACTTCCCAAAACAAGTAAACAGTATCACTTTTCACTTGCCCATTTAAAATAAAGTTATTGATATGTACAACACTGAAATGTACACATCCAATGGCTAGTTAAAACAGTCCTGGCACCAGTGGCTATTTTAATTCTAGCTACTTAGGAGGATGAGATCTGAGGATCAACTTTCAAAGCCAGCCCAGGCAGAAAAATCCATGGGACTCTTATTTCCAATAAACTACTCAGAAAAAGCCAAAAGTGGCACTTTGGCTCAAGTGGTAGAATGCTCTGCTAGCCTTGAGGACACAGAGGCTCAGGGACAACATCCTCAAGTTCAAGCCCCAGAATTAGCAAAAAACAAAAACAAAACACCAAAAAAACCCAGGAAATTTTGTTATGCATTCCTTATCATATTAAAATACACATATATATATATACTTTAAAGAGAAAATGATTGTCTGCCATGGTCATGAAATGTTCTTGGAGCTGATTATAGGTGAAAAGCCATGCTCTTGGAGTTGGAAGATTACTGGGTTGAGAGGAAACAATTTTCATACAATCGAGAAACAAAGATGATAATTCTTAGAAAACCTCTTTTGAAAACAAGTTGTCCAGACTGATGGAGGTCAGTAACATGTCTCTGGCTAGAAAGAAACACTGGTAAGAGGAATAGAGAAATGAATATTTCAAACGTGAAATGGTAGACTAGGCAGAGTGTGAGATAGATCAGGGAAAGATCTGAGAGGATTTAAAACAAAAACAAAAACAACATGAACATTTTATTTATGCCCCAAAGGAACAGAAAAGGCAGTGTAATGTATTTTATACTCATAAATTGACATGTTAAATAACCCTTGTGAACTTAAAGATAATAAAAATAAAAAAAGCAGTGTAGTTCACAATTAACACAGGCAAGTCTCAACTACTAGGCCTGGCAATCCTGAGTATTTGTGTGTGTGTGTGTGTGTGTGTGTGAGAGAGAGAGAGAGAGAGAGAGAGAGAGAGAGAGAGACAGAGTACTAGGGCTTAAACTCAGGGCCTCTTGCTTGCTGTTTTGCTCAGGACTGTTGCTTTACTACTTGAACCAAACCCTCTAATTTCAGCTCCTAGATAGTTAATTGGAGACAATTGTTTGGAGGGTTCTGGGTCTGGGCTAGCTTTGAATCCCAGTCCTTAGAATTCAGACTCCTGACTAGCTAGATTTATAGGCATGAGCCACTAGCACCTGGCCTCAGCTAATACTCTTACTTAAAATAATGATCATGACAAAGAAAGGTAAATAAACTAGCATTTTTCATCTATCAGATTGACAAAGACACAACCCTGATAATTAAATTGTAGGCAAGGGTATTGGGAAACTATGTTTACATAAACTATGAATGTTTTTATGGCCCTGGGCATAATAGACAAAACTATAAATGCACACACTTTTCTGACCCTGTATTTCTAAGTCTAGGAATTTATTCCCTTGTGCCTATGCACAAAAACACATGATGTTTTCTTAGTGTTGTTGTTTGTGGTACAAAGAATAAAACCTAATTATTAAGAGACTGGTTAAGGTGGCTGCCAGTGACTCACACCTATAATCCTAGCTACTCAGGAGGCTGAGATCTAGGATCATGGTTCAAAGCCAGCCCAGGCAGAAAATCTGTGAGCCTCTTATCTCCAATAAAAAAAAGCTGGAAGTGGCTGAAGTGTTAAAAGTGCTAGCCTTGAGCAAAAGGAGCTCATGGGCAGCACCCAGGCCCAGAGTTCAAGCCCAAGGACTGGCAAAAAAAAAAAAAAAAAAGATTGGTTAAACGATGAAACATTAATACAATGTAACTCATGCAGCCACATGAATAGTGTAGGTATCGATACTGATGCCAAAATCATGTTCTTGGGTGTATTAAGTAGGAGAAAAACTATGTTTAGCTATGTTGCAGAAAAGGGAGGATGTGAGTGGCTAGATAATACATTCAGGAATACTCGAAGTGATGATAATGGTTGTTTTTGGTAACAAAGACTAATGTAATTTTCTTAAATGCCATTTCACAGGGTTTTTTGGGGGGAGGTGTTTTCTTTTTTGAACAAATGCAATGTTTTTTAAGACAAATTTTTAAGGTATAAATAATTTCTGGAGTCCCTGGATGACGTCTCAACAGTAGTCTTTAAACAATAGCTCCTATGTGTAGGTGGACATAGTTTTGAGCACAGCAAAGTGGAGATAAACTGTGGAAGGAAGATGGTTCCAATGTTACAATATAATCTGTGAAAACACTATCATACATACACTTTTAGAATAAGCTATGACTGTCATTGTTCTGAAAGACTTCTCAAGCTACAGATCCTTCATTTGTTCTAACGTTACATTAAAAAAAAAACTAGTGTTTTCAGTTTTTAACTACCAACAATATTGTAAGAAACTGAGATAAGCAAAACCCAGTCTTTGAAGAGATCAAAATATGAGAAAATGTATTTTTGCTTCAACTTCCTAAACAGAAAAAAATTAAAAATACCCACCAGGTGAGGCAATCAGGTAATGGTTCAAAATAATACTGTTCAATAATCCCTTTGCTCCTGTTTCTTCTCAAGTCCCCCCAAATATCCCAGTCTTCTTCCAGATGCCTGAACTTTCATTTGAGACTGGAGATTTCCAATACATGTACATTCAGAATCAGGTAAATAATATCTGAGTGCCTTAATGGGGAGACTATCACCGCACCCCAATTTTCAACTGGAAACTAAAATATTTAAAACACACTTTGTGATCATTCCCGTTGTGTATTTCAAGATCTGGCACCTTTATATATGATGGTACTATTCCAATTAGAAACAATTGTGAAAATATTTAGAACACTGTACAAGCCAAACCAAATATACTCTTATTTCTGATTTCCCGACTAGAGAGTAAAGTGTTAGACAGTACTGTTTCAACCTATGTCTTACACATTCAGGGTTTATTTATTTACTTATTTATTTTTTGTATCGGGGATTGAACTCAGGGCCTCAGACTTTCTAAGCTAGCACTTCTCATTGAGCCACAACTGTATCCCTGTTTCTTACTGGTCACTTTTGAGATAGTGTCTTACTTCGTGTCTAGGCATGTACCTGGAAGAGCTCCAACAAATTAGGCCTCTTGTAGTAGCCTGTATAACAGGTGAATGCCACTGGGCCTAGCACTCACTTGAGAATAGGCCTTGAGAACCTCTCTATCCTGGACGGCCTTGAACAGTGATCCTCCCAATTTTAGGCTCGCAAGTTTCTAGCATTACAGGCATGAGCCACTGGCACTGGGCTCAATAAATATTTCTAACTTGGATTTGAGGTACCTGCATAGAACAATCAGCTTTCTAAAAAACCTAGTCTCAAAAACATTCCCAAGGGCTGCCAGGCAACTCATTTTCATTTCCACAGTAGTAATTATTCTACTTGTACAAGAGATGGGAATATCTTATCAATGAGCAGATGCATCCAAAGGAACAAGAGTAAAAGCTGAGGATATAAATAAAGAATGAAGCTTGTCTGTTCTCACTAGAAAAACAACATCAACATGAACACATATATTTAAAGAAAGCTACAGGGTTGAGTGATATATACACATTAGAAATTAGGATTAAAGCTCCCTTTGGTTTAGGGGCACTCAGACAAGGCAGAATTTGAACTGCTGTTTGGATTTTTAAATTATCAATCAAAAAATAGGTGAGGGCATTTTACCAGTATCTATCTAAATTCCAAGTAATATAGCTTTTGTCTCAGAAATCTCAGATATAGTTGTACTTAAGAAACAAGACAGCAGGTATGTACACTGGAGCATAATAATAATAATAATGAAGCAACATTCAAATATTGGATGCTTAGTGGCTAATGTCTGTAATCCTAGCTACTAAAGAGATGAGATCTGAGGATCAAAGTTCAAAACCAGCCTAGAGAAATGAGGCTATAAGACTATCTCTACCTAACTAACCAAATGCTGAACTGGAGATGTGGTTCAAGTGGTAGAGCACAACCTGTGCACACAAAAGTCAAGTGAGACCATGAGATCCTTCTGAGTTCAAGCCCTGGTAGCAGCGCGTGCGCACGCACGCGTGCACGCGCGCACACACACACACACACACACACACACACACAAACCCCAAAACAAAAAAAACCTCACAGTGTACATCAATAGGGAAACAAATTAAATTAAGCAAATTGTGGTATAAAACATGATAAAGTACTATGAAGCTGTAAGAAAAAAACAGAATGAAAAATTACTCTGATAATGCAAAGTAACACTGTAAGGTCCACAAGAACAGTATTACAGTATGCTTCTGTCCAAATAAAAACTAAAGGTGGTAGGTACATTTACATTTGTACAGATACCCTGGAAAGATAAACACAAAACTAATAAAAAGGAGTTACCAAGAAATAGGATAGTTTGAGTGCATAGGAGACAGGCTAGAAGACAGAATATATTTTTATGTTGTATGGCTTAAAACATACATACATATATATATATATATATATCTTTATTGTTATTGCAAAGGTGATATACAGGAGAGTTATAGTCTGACATAAGTCAGACTGTTCTATGACTTAAACCTGAGGAGTATTCAAAATTTGCTGGCAGTGGTGCTGTGGTTACTTACAAAAGAGAACATGCAGATGTCCTCTCTCTTTCCTTACCCCTGGAAGGAAGAAAGCTTTGAGCTAGAGCAGAAGTTGGGGAATGGAGCTGGATCTGAGAACACTAGAACACCAGGAAAGACAGATAGCATGATCCAGGGACAGCTGGAGGTAAGAGACTCAGGGACTTTTCTGCCCAGGCTGGCTTCAAACCATTATCTTCAGATCTCAGTTTCCTGGGTAACTAAAATTGGAGGTGTGGACCACTGATACTGGGCTTAGATTTGAGTAATTATTAAATCAAATAAAAGCATATTTTTAAGAAACAAAACTCCGGGGTCAGATTGCAGGAGTCCATACTACTAGATGCAGGATCTGCT